AGATAGGAGAGGGGGTGAGGAGGACTGCTCCTGCGCGGGAGGGGTGACGAGAAAACAAGAACCCCACTAGAGACCCTAGGGATGTGGGGAACCAGACCCCCACTCAAGGTGTGAGAAATCCGCGCAAGCTGCTGAGAAACAAGGCTCCCGCTCGAGACTTCCTCGGGGTTCAGGCTCCCAGGTGTCACCAAGCCTGTGTTGCTACACGGTTTGCCGATGGCCGCCTGGGATTCGAACATTGAGGTGGAGACCCCATAATGAGGGACTCCCGCTCGAGACTTCCTCGCAGTTCACTCACACACGAGCGAGCGCCCAAGACATCCTCTCAGTTTGCTCCAGAACGAGGCTCCCGCTCGAGACTTCCTCGGGTTTCAGGCTCCCAGGTGTCACCAAGCTTCTTTTTAGACAGGTGTTCCGATGGCCGCTTCGGATTCGAACATGGAGGTGGGGACCCCACAAGGAGGGGCTCTTGATCGAGACTTCCGTCGATTCACTCACAGACGAGTGAGCGCCCGAGACATCCTCTCAGTTTGCTCCGAGGCGAGGCTCCCGCTCGAGACTTCCTCGGGAATCAGGCCCCCAGGTGTCATCAAACCTGTGTGTCACTAGGTTTTCCGATGGCCGCCTCGGATTCAAACATGGAGGTGTGGACCCCATAGGGAGGGGCTCCCGCTGTGTGCGAGTCCGTGAGTAGCGCGCGCGGCGATGATGATAGTAATAAGAATACTACTACTAAGAATGGCAATCACACCAAGAATAATGATAGTCAGAATGACAATCATAACAACAGCAACAACAACAACAAGAGCAAAAGCAATAACACAAACAATAACAAAAAGAAAAATGATGATGCTAGTGGCAATGGTGATCTTGATGGTAAGTGTGAAGCCATGGCGTGGTGATGATGACCGATGACCATGATGGGATTGCGATTATGATGCTGACGATGGTGCAAATGCGATTATACATGTGAAAGGAGAAGAGAAAGAGATGGTGAGGTTGTACTGCGCAAGGGTGTCTGGAGAAAACAAGAATCCCACTCAGGCTGTGGGGAACACCAATATCGTCGGAGATCTGGGCCCTTGGCCCCGGGGCCGGGAGAGCCGCTACCCGTCGAGGCCGTGGCCCAGCACTGGGCACGCGGTGTTCCCCGGCGGCCCTCGGCGGTAGGCACGGCAGGATCGTGCCACGTCAGCGCGGGATCCTGAGCCACCTAGCTTCGCGCCCCGCGATGCGCGACGCGCGATCATCTTCGCGCTGTCGCGCCCTCGCACCACCCTCTCTGGAGAAGGCCGGCCGCTCTGACCGAGACCGCGTCGCGGAGAGGCGCGATTCTCTCTGCGCCCCCGCGGGCGACCTCCCTGAGACCCGACGTCCAGCAAAAGCTGCGACAAGGCGAAAAATCGTGACCAGAGCCCACCTTTCTGCGGCATCTCTCCAGCCAGATCGATCTGTGAGGGCCCCGGGACCCCGCACACGGCAAACTCGCCCGATGTGAAACAATGGCCCCGCCCAGATCTCAGGGCTTCTGCCTTCGCCCCGAGCCGCTCCAAAACCTCGCAGCCCGCGCGTCCTCCGCTGGAGAGACCCCCACGGAGGCAGCCCGCACGACTGCTTGAGCGCCGAGAGCCCGCGCGATCCCCGACGCGCCGACTGGGACGGCGCGAGCCTGCCGAGCCTACCCCTACTCTCCAGGGGGAACGACCAGGGGGGGAGGAGGAGGGGGGGGGACATCCACCTTCGGCAGAATCTCGAGGTTTGAAGTGATGAGTGTTTTCTGGCGTTCTCGTTGCGAGCTGTAGTGCCGTCGCCTCGAGCCGCTCCCAACGAGCCGCTCCCAAAAACCCTTGGGACCGCACCTCCGCCGCCCAGAAGGCCCCCCCGCACGGAGGCAACCCGCAGGAGGGCCTGGCATGCACCAAGTGCTGGAGCCCCCGCGCGATTCTCGCATGCCGACGCGCTGGCCCAGGACGGCAAGAGCTTACCGATCCTCCCCATGTTCTGAGGAGGAACGGCAGGCCCAGACATGCTTGTGCCGCAACAAAAAATTAGCCTGACGAAAGACCCAACCATACGTAGTTGTGAATACCGCAATTGTGGATATATTCCGCATGCGAGCGCAGCCACTGGGGCGTTCGGTGGAGCTCCCTATGGGGCCACGAAACGTGTGAGGGGTGTGCGAGAATGGGGGGTGGAACCGCATGCGAGCGCAGCCACTGGGGCGTTCGGTGGAGCTCCCTATGGAGCCACGAAACGTGTGAGGGGTGTGCCAGAATGAGGGGTGGAACCGCATGCGAGCGCAGCCACTGGGGCCTTCGGTGGAGCTCCCTATGGGGCCACGAAGCGAGTGAGGGGTGTGCCAGAATGGGGTGTGGAACCGCATGCGCAGCGCAGCCACTGGGGCCTTCGGTGGAGCTCCCTATGGAGCCACGAAACGTGTGAGGGTGTGCCGAAAAGGGGGTGGAACCGCATGCGAGCGCACCACTGGGGCCTTCGGTGGAGCTCCCTATGGGGCCACGAAACGTGTGAGGGGTGTGCGAAATGGGGGGTGGAACCGCATGCGAGCGCAGCCACTGGGGCGTTCGGTGGAGCTCCCTATGGAGCCACGAAACGTGTGAGGGGTGTGCCGAAATGTGGGGTGGAACCGCATGCGAGCGCAGCCACTGGGGCCTTCGGTGGAGCTCCCTATGGGGCCACGAAACGTGTGAGGGGTGTGCCGAAATGGGGGTGGAACCGCATGCGAGCGCAGCCACTGGGGCCTTCGGTGGAGCTCGGGGCCACGAAACGTGTGAGGGGTGTGCCCTGCGAGCGCAGCCACTGGGGCCTTCGGTGGAGCTCCCTATGGGGCCACGAAACGAGTGAGGGGTGTGCGAGAATGGGGGGTGGAACCGCATGCGAGCGCAGCCACTGGGGCCTTCGGTGGAGCTCCCTATGGGCCACGAAACGTGTGAGGGGTGTGCCGAAATGGGGGGTGGAACCGCATGCGAGCGCAGCCACTGGGGCGTTCGGTGGAGCTCCCTGTGGGGCCACGAAACGTGTGAGGGGTGTGCCGAAAAGGGGGGTGGAACCGCATGCGAGCGCAGCCACTGGGGCCTTCGGTGGAGCTCCCTTTGGGGCCACGAAACGTGTGAGGGGTGTGCCGAAATGGGTGCAGGGGACGCATGCTGATGATGATGATGATGATGATGATGATGATGATGATGATGATGATGATGATGATGATGATGATGATGATGATGATGATGATGATGATGATGATGATGGTGATGGAATGGTGATGGTGATGCGGATGGATGATGATGAATGATGATGATGATGATTATGATGATGATGCTGATGATGATGAGGAGGAGGAGGATGACAATGATGATGATGGTGGCGATAACGGCGATGATGATGGCGATGATGGTGATGATGACGATGATGACGATGATGACGACGACGATGATGACGATGACGATGACGACGATGATGGTGATGATGATGACGATGATGATGATGACGGGTGGAGGGAGGAGGGGGGAGGAGGAGGAGAGGAGAGGAGAGGAGGACGCGGGGCACCGTCTCTTCAAAACGAGGACCCAACACCACAGGATGGTTGGGAACTACAACGAAGAACGCAATACTCATATTGCCGTTTACGGCCCCTGGGGGCCCTCACCAGGCCCCGGGACCGTCTAAAAGCTACCCAGGATTAAAAACTGGTCCTAGGGAAGGGGTCTAGGCCTCCGGGAGTCCGCGCTGCGAACAAAACACGACTTCGCTTGTCTTGGGGGGGAGGCTTGCTCAGGGTGGAGGGGGGCATCGGCCTGGAATCGGCGACGCCGTCAGGTCGGCGATAGGCCTCCGATAGCGAAACGGCACGTTCCTGAGGCACCGAACACACCACCAGTGTGCCTGGCCAGGGCCATCCTTGGCCCTGGCGTGGCATATACGCCCTCCTGGCCTCGGCCACGAGGGTCGACACACCATCTCAAGGCCCAGGACGGCGCTGGCCAGGCACGGTGTTGGAGTGAAGATACCCTCTGCGGACGATACCGCTACTCCCCGGGCGGGTGCCGACCCAGGAACTCGAGGCGAATCTGTCCGTGGCGTAGAGGACCCCCCAGACGCCCAGAAGGGCCAGAAGGCGAGGAGAAGGCGTCGGCGCTGTTGTGCCTTCATCCCCTTGGCCTCCCCAGCAAAATCCTCTTAGAATCGGTCCCACGATCCCGCTTGGGGTCCATCCCAGCCAGCTTGCCGTCCCGGGTCGATGCTCGACAGTCGTGGAGCCTTTAGAAACGGATTGACGACGCCAAGCCTGAACATGGGATGTCAGAATTGTTCCATACGAGGCCCCGGAAAACCCGACGCTTTCCCCACAACTGGTTTCTCATCCCGCGCTGCTTTTGACGTCATGTGGCCTGGCGAGGGCCCAGGCCAAAACCCTCCCGTCGTGATTCCCGAGTAGCGTTTCGCTAGAGAGTTGTAACAGTTGCTGGAACGAGCCACAGAAGAGTCCCACAGGGGTCTCGGGCAGCCGTTTCGCCTGAGACTTTCCTACAATGTATTCAGGAATCGATTCTCCGTCAATACAAGTTTCCTTCTCTTACTCGCGACGCGAGCACGCCTGGGGCCACGACGCGAGAAGAACGAAACCCCCGACTCTGACTTGCGCGCGAAGCCCCCGCCGAGCAGCATCCCTGAGATGCCCGACGTCGTGACAGAATTGCACCAGCGCGAAGAATCACCACTGGAACCCCCAACCCGGCCTGGTTGGGATGTCATCCACAAGAAAGCGAGCAACTTTTGTCCCAGCAGCGTGAGTGGTGGACTGCTCACCCGGATGCTATGCAGGCTCCCGCCGTGGCGCCATCCCAAACCCGACCTTTCTGCTGCATGTTCTACTAGGATCGACACGTGAGGGCCCCGGGCCCCGAAACGTTGCGAAAAAAAATGAGACGTCAGGATCTCAGGGGGCGCCGAGGGCAACGAGCACCCTGACTCTGACTCGCGAGAGCCTCGGTGCTGAGGCCGCCGAGGCGCTTGCGCAGCGGGCGCGTGTCCTTCCCAGACGCGTTCCGCCTCTGGGGAAAAGCCAAGGCGGCCCACCACCAAGGGGGGGTCGCAGCCCCCTCGAAAAGGACCCCTCAGGAACTCCCCAAACCGTCCCACAACCCGAAGAAACGGACCACAATCGTCCAAGCACCTCCTCGATCCTCGAAAATCAAGATTCTCACAAGGAGCTGGCGAACCCCGTACCCTAAGATCCGACATCCACAAATTTGCCAGCCCGGATCGATCGATTCGATCCGTGAGGGTCCTGGTGCCCAAAACCGGGCGACACTGCCCAGCGTGAATGAATTGCAACGACCAGATCTCCTGCGCTTGGCCGAGAAGTCCGAGGGCGACCCAGCCGTGGCGACGAGGAATTCCCAGGATGCCCAGAGAAGAGCGAGCAACGCCCAAAGACCTCAAAGTTCGGAACCCGAAGGATCCAATGCAGTCAGGCTGCCTCCTAACCCTCAGGAGGAGTGAATGAAACTGAGGAGGAGGAGGAGGAGGAGGAGGAGGAGGAGGAGGAGAAGAAGCATAGGCAGAAGCAGTAGCACAAGCACAAGCACAAGCAGAAAGAGCGAAAGTGATGGAGGAGGAGGAGGAGAGGGAGAAGGACAGGTGAAGGAGGGGGAGGAGGAGGAGGAAGGAGGTGGAAGGGGGAGGAGCGATCCCCAAACTAGAGGCCTCCCAAATAAGGTTCGAGCAGATGGGGTCGGAGGATCGCGGCACATCGCCGATGCATCGGCGATGCGCAGGCGACATTCGGCGATGCATCGTCGGCGTCGGCGTGGAGAAAATCGGGCTCCACACCGCGCCGCATCGCCGATGCATCGGCGATGCGGCGCGATCCTCCGACCCCGTCTAACTACTCCGACCCGATCTAGGAGGCCGAGACAAACTACCAACCCACCCCCGTGATTGCACTGGAAGAACAAGGAACCCAGACCCCCGACGTTTTATTTTTCTGAACCGTGGACCCCCAGAGATCTCGATCCATTCCCCGAGACCAGTTCTTCATCCCGAGCTGCTTTTTGACAGCCCCAGGGCCTTGCGAGGGCTCCAAGACACCCAAAATTGGTAAAACAAAAACTCCCGTCGGTTTCTGTTGTTCCCGACGCGAGGGGGGTCTCGGGGCGGAAGTCTGGCCCTGCCGCGACGCGCGACGCCTCAGTCGCGCGCTGCGCGGGTCGTCGCGCACGGCCCGCAGGCGCTGCTCGCAGGCGTCCCAGGGCGAGGGCGCTGGCACGCCGGCCCCAGGGCCTTCGGGGAGGCCCCAGGGGGGCGTCGGCCAGCAGCTAGGGGAGGGGGGAAGGGGGAGAAGGGGGAGAAGGAGAGCTCTTTTTCATCGCGGCGCTATGGGGGAGGGAGGGGGCGGGGGGGGGGGGGGGCACAACATAACGCACCCGCCCCCCACCGTGACAGACTGTGGTGCCGGACGCACTGCGTCAGTGTTGGGGTTGGGGACGCACTGGGGAGGGGGGAGGAGCGTCACATTACGTGGGGGGGAGAGGAGGAGCGGGTCGAAGGGGGGGGCACAACGCGCGTAATTGCCCAGGGGGGGAGAGAGAACAAAAAAAACAAAAACAAAAAAAAACAAAAAAAAACTCGCAAAAGGGCGGGGGAAGCACCCAGACAAGCTTCCGTCGTGAGGAGCCCCCGGGACCGTCAAAAAACAGAGCAGGAGGAAAGACTGGTCCCAGAGATGGGTCGAGAACTCCGGGGGGGCAAGCTGTGCCAAAAAATATGGCGTTGGGGTCTACGGAGCCAGCGGGTCCACCGTCATCGCGCTACCACAAGGAACGCTGAATCAGGAACGAAGAGGCTTTTGTGGCCACTTCTAGCCTCGGCTACGAACAGGCTCCCCGACGTAGATGTGAGCAACCGCCCAAAACCCAGAGCCTCTCGTGAGCCCAAAGTGGTCTCTGTTCCAGCGTCTGGGCTGCCGGATGTGTGTTGCACGAGCGAGGCAGGTCCTGAGAAAAGCGGCTCCTGGGCCTCATTGCCTTGCCCGGTGCAGGGGCGGCATCCCTGGGGACGCCGCCCGACGGTAAAGCCCGTCCGAGGTTGGCAGCGACTGCTGCGGGATGGCCGGCAGACATTCAAGGCCGGAGCTCGTGCACATCCACCGCCCCGGAAGCCGATGCCCCAGGAACGCCAGCTTGGCATCGTTCGGACGTCTGTTACCCGTGCGTTGATTGGTTTCGTGCGTCTTTTGTTCTCAAGCTCGTCCAAGATGCTCCAAGATGGTCCAGTTTGTTTTTCTGGCGGTAGCTCCGCCGAGACAAACGCACACGTCCGAGCGATGCCAAGCCAGAGGCGGTGGATACGGACACCGTTGGGAACCCCCAGTGGCCGAAACTTTCCGCATCCACCACCTTCTGGGGTCGTGGGGCAGCGATCCCTGGGTGGTGGATGCGCATAAGTCCTGGCCGCGGAGGTCGCCACGAAGTGGATCACGACCGCCCTGAAACTGGCAGCGAGTCCTACCCGATATGAACGGGAATTGCTGCCACTTACGTCACATTGTTGTCGTGCCGTGGGGCCCAAAAAATCTCGATCCCAGTCCCTGGACCAGCTGTCCTTCCCGAGTCTCTGCCTGCTGGCCCCATGGCCTGGCGTGAAGGGCCCCTGGAAGCTGTCAGTGGCGAACGCAAAATCTGGGCCAAATGTTGCCGAGTCGTCAAATCTCTTCGGAGGTCTCCAGATGTGCCTGGACATCTGCCAAGACACAAACAACCCATACGATCACCTAGCAAGAAGCACTAGCAACCACAAAACAACGGTCTACATATATATAATATATACATATATATGTGTATATATATATATATGTGTGTATGTATGTGTGTGGGTGTGTGTATGGTGCTGTTGTTACATGTAGATATTATATATCTATGTATACACACACATGCATGTCTACATGCATGCATACATACTCACATGCACGACTACGTGCCGATATGCCTGCATGCATGCATGCAAACATTCATACATGCATACATAAATACATGCATACATGCAAAACGCACACATGTATACATACACACAGCTACACATACGTACACATACGCATAAACATAATCACGTACACGGATACGCCTACATGCACATATACCATACGTCTGCATGCACGAGCAAGCTTACGCATTAACACATAAAAATACAAATGAATTCATGTGCATAGGCGTGTATATACACGTATGAAACCAACAATACGTACACATATACATGTACATATGCAGATGCAGATACATATGCATGAACATACACATATGCACATATACATACAAACACAAATATCTATATACACACAGAAACACCCTCGAGCCTTCATTCTAAATCCTCGAGGTCTGGGTTCGGCCCTCTTCCAGACAGCGCCGAGAGGGGCTCAGCACGAAACGTTGCCACCTTCTATTTAGGATCGACGCTCGAGGGGGGGGGGGGGGGCGAGCATCTTGTTTTCTCATTGCTTTGAGCGATTTGGGCAATTCTGGGCGAGGGGGTGTCCTACGTCCTACGGGGTCCTCCTCCCTCTCCTCAGGTAGAGAGGTTTCTTGAGGGCTAGAAACAACCGCGAGGTTCCAATGGTGCTGCCACGAGTCTCTTGCTGCTAGCTATAAGCGCCGGCCTGGGCGGACAAATCCTGCCACTCTGGACAGACAGACGATAACAAAAGAAGCTACCCGTGACAGGGCGAGCGGTCGAGGGGGGTGAGGAATGTGGCCCACGAATCAGGGAACTAAGCCATGACTACGAAAATCGGCATGGCCCTGGACCCGGGCAAGACTCCTCAAGTGGAGGTGGAGACCCCCTGTAGTGGTGACCCTCTGTGTTGACTGTGTGCTGTCATCCTGGGCAGCTTTCCGACGGCCACGCGCCCCGGGGGCACCGGGTGCTCCCTGGAGGCCGAAAAGGCAAGAAAAGAACCCTGGGCCCCCTCTTGTTTGTGCGAGCGGGGTCATTCCTCTCTCTCTCTCTCTCTCTCTCCCTCTGGTTTTCCAAAGGCCTCCGGAGGCCCCCACGGAGGTCCCCATGCAGAGTCCTGGAGGCCCCTGGAGGGCCGAGGAAGGACCAAGAGCGCTCCACAACCCTCGATCCACCACCCTCGACCCCTCGACCCCCCTCGCCAACTCTCGATCCGTCGACTCCCCACGGCTACATGCTAGAGTGACACTGGGCAGGAGTGACCTTTGGTGCTCGGTTTCAGGGGGCCGCGCGGAGGCCAAATCCAAGCGCGCAAGCCAAGGCTGGGGGGACACCGATAGGCCCGCAGCAAAGGTCATTCCGACGAACGGCCATGCTCACGCGTAGCCGACCCTCGAGGGTCCAAGTTCGACCCCCCTCGATCCTTCGGCCGCCGGCGCGAGGGCCTCCCTGGCGCCAGGCCGTGGGGAGCCGAGCTCCGGCGCCAAGTCTGCCGCCGCGGGCGCGGGCGCCGGGCCCGCCGCCGCGCCGGGGCGCGGCCGGCGCTCCTCCCCATCCCCGGGGGGGCATCGACGTCTCCTCCAACGAGGCTCTCGGTTTGGGTCAGCGGCGAGGGCGGACGCCAACGCGGTCGGTCAGCCGGCGGGCCGCGCCGGGCAGAGGCACACCAGGCAAGTGGAAAAGAAGAGGGCGGCCGCAGAGGGAGAACGCGGGAGGAGGCCTCAGGCGTGGAGAGCCTTCCCCAGGGGGAGTGCGCAGGCGGCCTCGGGCTCCGAACACCAGTGTTCAAATTCTCCAGAGAAGCACGGCACTCGCAAAACCCCAGGGAGGCACGCATCACGGTGGCTACAGACGCCGAGCGTCACAAAGGCATCACCCCCTGCGACGGGGAAACCCTCACGCAGACACACGACACGAGGCAGGGCAGCGCTACGACTATGACCGCCAGGGACGTTCCACCTCGAGGCACCCTGAGATGGACAAACCCCGAGGAGAACTAGTCGGGAATCTCTGGGAGCCAGCGGGTCTGGAAGATGCATCGGGCGCCGCGGTCGTTCCAGTGCGCTCCATGGCGCCATGAGAGCGTTCCGGAACGCTCTGGAACGATGTGTCCTCATCCTGGTGTAGGCCCGCTGAGCATCCAGCGCCATTAAAAAATCGGAGCGGCCAGCTTCTCGCCAGATGTGGCTCCTGGGGGACGGCTTCGGGCCTCGGGGCCGTCAAGAGACCCCTCGTGGCGAGAAGCCGGGCCTGGGGAAGGAGTCGAAGCGCCGCATGTCTGGGGATCCACCTCACCGATGTATCAAGAACCTGGGCGTCGATTCTTTGTTCACACCGAGCGTTTTCAGCCGACGGATTCGGGCCCCGGGAGCCTCAAAAATCGATCTGGCTGGAGAAACGCCGCAGAACGATTGGGTCTCGGGCTCCAGTCGTGATTTGTCGCGCGATGTTGCATATTTGTCGCCATGTCGAATCTCAAGATATGCGCCCTCCTGGCTCGGACAGGAGGGCGTGCGCACCGATTCTGGGACCACGATCGGCCCAGCCAGGTGATGTGGATAGTTGAAGTCCGTCGACCCAACATCCGTCCTCGTCCTCGTCCTCGTCCTCGTCGTCGTCTTATGCGCAATCAGGAAATGGAAAGCAGCGTGCACAGAAGGAGGAGGAGGAGCAGGAGGAGGAGAAGGTGGCGGGTGAGCAGGAGGATGAGCGGGATGACAATGACGAGGACGAGCAGCAGCAGCAGCAGCAGCAGGAACTGGAGTTGAAGGAGCGGGAGGAGCAGGAGGACCAGGGGAAGGCGGAGGAGGAAAAATAAGGGGGCGTAAAAATGAGGACTCGGATCCATAAAAGCGGCCCGCACTGGGGCGAGAACGCCATTCTGAAACACCGAAAATACAGATATTCTAAAAGCAACATTACCCTGTGACGTACCCAACCCATTTGTACCATGGGAAACGAGGAGTTGACCGAAACTTGCATGGACAATCAAATTGCAGGATCCGTTGTTTGATATGTAAGCTACTTGGGACACGCGCCTATGGCATGATGCGCAGGAGAACCATACAAGAAAGAAGGGCAACAGCTACAGGCTCGAAGAGGACATGGGGAGACGGGAGCGAAGAGCAGGAGAAAGACGTGCGGGAAGCCCACTGTGCTGGGCCCCTCAGCAGCCCTCGAAAGTGGCGACAGTTTCACAGATCGCAGTCCCCCAGGGATGGCGAGGTCCCATTTGAGTCTGCGGTGAGTACCCACTGTGCTGGGCCTCAGCAGCTCTCGAAAGCGGCGACAGTTTCACAGATCGCAGCCCCCAGGGATGGCGAGGTCCCATTTGA